AAACTCATTGCCATTGAGTTAATTCCAACTCAGAGACCCCATACGTGACAGAGTAGAACCATATACTTCAGAGTTTTTCTTTTTTTAAATTGTGGTTTGGGTGAAAATATATGGAGCAAATTAGTTTTCCATTCAAATCTGTAGGCTAATGTTTCGGAAGTAGACCACCAGGCCTCTTTTCTGAGGCCCTTCTGGGTGGACACAGTCCTGCACAGAAAGCTGAGGGACCAGAAAAGAGCTCGGCACTGTGATCAAGGCGGGACAGTGTCCCACGAGAGGCCCAGCGGACACCACACAGGAACTCGGGAGCCCACACCCAGCTGAGAACGTAATCCCCTCTCCCCCAGATTGAGGTGCTAGAGCTTGGTGGGAGGTCTTCAGTTCAGGCTAATTACAAACGTTGCAGTCTTGGGGCTCTCACCACCCCTACCACAGGGTTAGGAGGGGGCTTTGGGAGCCTATGGTTCTGTGGCTAATGGGGTGGGGGCTGTTTTCCTTGACAAGGTTAGCACCTCAGAGGCCATGGGGAAAATGTGGATTGGGAGTCAGGCAGACTCAGATTCAAATTCTGGGTGTCACTTATGAGCCGTGGGACCCAGATCAGATCACCATTTCCTGCTGATTCTCAACTTTTCCCCGTCTGTAGAATGAGGATGATACTACCCACCTCATGGGATGGTGGAAAGGATTCCGAGAGACAAAGCATGAGAATATGCCCTCAAGGGAGTGACTCACTGACCAGCCTCCAGTATTTAGTATGACATATACACATAGTAGACGGAGTAGGCATCCTACTCCCTTCTGTACTTAATCTCAGAACAGTCAGTTTGCTGAAGATCTGCCCATTCACATGCTGATCCAGCTTTCTTCTTGACAAACTGGAGGTGGGACTTTTAGGCACATACCTGGGCTTTGTCCACCCGCCCCATGTCCACGGCCCAGCTTCTCCTGCCTGATCGGTTGCAGCAGCCTCCTCGCTGCTCTCCCAGCCTCCAGTTCCTCTTGTTGCTGCCACCTGGATGCAAGGATGCTAGGATGATCTTTCAATAATGATGCCCACTTCCCTGCTCCAGAATCTTTGATGGCTCCCCAGGGTCTCCAAGGTCAATCCCCTACTCCTTTAAATGGCATTCAAGGCTCTCTTGCTCATTTCTCCAAGTTCCTCTCTCCTCACGTCTTCTTCTGGATTTCCCTCTCTGTCCCCGGGCCCTGCTGTAATCTCCCTCCCCTCATTCAACTCATCTCACTCACTGCCTTTCCTGTCTCTGGGCCCACTTGTGCCCTAGCTGGGGAAGGTACCCCCACAGCTCTCTGCTTCCCACGGCCCTGGGATTGTCTCTGCCAGGAGCTGTGAGCTCCTTGAAAGCAGACAGTCAGGTATGTTCACATTTTATCTCCTGGTCCCCAGAGAGCAAGGGCTGGAAGCCCAGACTCCACTATGAACAGACAGGGGCTCAGTGTAAGACTGCAGGGGGTGCTGGGGACTGCAACAAACAGGAGCACCATCGTCCCCAATGGGTAGCCACCTCTCAGCTCCAGCTGACCACTGCCCTGCAGAAATGTGGGGCTCACTGCCGGGTAGACCTTGCATTTTTCAGAATTGCCAGAAACCCAGATCATATGTGAGTTTCCAGTTTTTAAAAATATTGTGAGGTGCTCAGGGTCTGAGGGTGCATGAGTCAGAGGGGTCCTTTGTACAAGCAGAGCTGAGGTGGTCAGCAGACCACCGACCCAAGCTTCCCACATCTTCTTTATTATAGAGCAGTGGCCTTGACCTGGGAGGGTGGTCTTGCCCCCTGGGGACATTTGGCAATGTCTGTACACATTTTTGGTTGTCACACTGGGACTAGTGCTGCTACTGGTGTCTAGTAGGTAGAGGCCAGTGATTCTGCTAAACATCCTACAATGCACAAGACATAAGATGCCCCCAAATGTCCATTGTGTTGTGGTTGAGAAACCGTGCTGTGGAGTTGTTGGTGGGAAGCAGCTGCCCAGCTGGAGATTACAGTTCCCAGCTTTTGCATCTAGGTGGAATCGTGTGGCTAGTTCTCACCAATGGAATATGAGTGGAAGTGATGTGTGCTGTGTTCAGGAGGACATGGTTCAGCAGTTGTCATGCCTCCCCTACTGTGTGCTTCCTCATGGGTGTGCTGGCAGATGGAAAGGACATCCAAAAACTTGAGAGCAGAGCCACAAGGTGGAAAGAGCCTGGGTCTCCACATCTCCTGACCAGGAGCACCACCACTGACTGGACTGGTGCTCAAGATAGGAGGAAACGCTTGTTGTGTTAAGTTACTGAGAATTCTGTTGGTAACAGAAGACTGTGTTACCTCTGTGAATGGAAGAAAACGTCAGCTTGCTCTAGTTCCTCCTTGCTGAGAAGGGCTCTGAGGGCAGCTGAGCTGACACCCTTGTGCTGTGGGCACTGACTGTCCACCTTAGCATCTAGGTCCAAGGTTAAGTGTGCTGATGGATAGAGTGGGACCTTTGCCTTGGATTAGGACTCACACCCACCAACAGTAAGGGCTGATGGGTGATCTAAGCCTGAGCAGTAATGGGGCCCAGCCTGGGTGAAGGGGGGTGGAGGAGACTATGGAGAAGTAAGTGCCTCAGCATCACTGGTGTCTGGCTCACAAGTGACATGTCACCCCTGGCCTAGAGTCAGGGCAGGAATTGCTCCTTGTCCTTAAAGAGAGCCTAAGAGTTCATTGTATGCTGGACACTGTGCTAAGCCCTCTACACATGCAGCTGCAGAAGCAGAGGGTCAGAGAAGTTAAATAACCAACCAAATAACACGGAACCAAGAAAGTGATGGAGCAGAGATTCCAGCTCCAATCTCATAGCCTATGCTTTTTAACCCCATCAGTGTACCCCAAGGTTCATCAGAAGCTTTTGAGGTTCCATCATGGGCAAGTTGTAAGCATCAGGTGTTCATTTCCCCAGAAGCAGCCCTTAGCCAAAGGTGAATCACAGTTGGAGAATAAAAGCCCCAGTTCCCTCACTCCTTGGGTGGAGTAACTCTCAGGGGCATCTTCTACGCTGTCTCCCAGAGTTCGGTAGTGGGATTGAGCCCCAGCTGCCCACAATAATAACCTGTTTAAATAACACACCCTTTACAGCTTCCTTCCCTTTCCTCACCCTTCCCCACTGCCCCCACTGGGACTCTTTCAAATCCTTGTCTCAGGGCCTGGAAAACTCAACCTAAGACATAAAGGATGGTTTGCGCACCTCTGAGATGTAAGCTGATTTCAGGTGGCACTGATGGGCTTTTAAAAGTTGGCTACATAAAGATATGAATTTAAAGGAAAATACCTAGGAAATAACAGATCAGAGATCTAGCAAAAATTGCCAAGATGGTATCAGAATGACACCTGAGAAACACTGTGTGGTTCCATTCTTGTCCCTGCAAGAATGTGTGCACATTCTTTCCTTTTTTACCCCAGCATCAGCTTGGCTATGCTTCCCTTTTTGCCAGAGCTGCCAGGCAGCTTGGAGAGAGATGTTCTGCTCTGTTGTATTTACATTCCTAAAGGACCTCCCACTTCTAACATATGGTTTCTCTACTTTCCAAGTTCACATTTAACTCATCCGTGGTGTTGGTTGCCCCAGAACCTGTTGGCAGGAGGTTGGAAATGCATTACAAACAAATAAAAGATGTCATTAAGTCAGACCTGGATTCAAATCCCAGCTTCACAATTTGTCTGGAGGACACTGGGCAGCTGCATCACTTCCCACAGCCTTGGTTTCCTCGTCTATAAATATGGATGATGGGACCCACTTCCTAGTAAGGATTAGATGAAATGAATATAAAGCATCAAGCACAGAGCTTGGCCTATAGTAAACACTCAGTGTTGAGTGCTGTGATTATTATCATTACAGGGACTTCAATTCCAATGAGGCAAAAGGAGCAAGCTCAGAGAACTCTGCCTACTCCCAGTGTCAGGTATAATTCTGATTCCAGTGCCCCTTCTTGACAATCAGGAATGAAACAATCCCCGTTGTTCAGCCAGGCTATAAGCTTTTGAGGACAAGGAGCATGTTTGTCTCATTCACTATTAAATTAAAACCTAGCACAACGCCTAGCACATACTCAAAATTTGTTGCATTGATGAAATTAATGAGTAGCTACAAGGTCCCATACATGCAGTTATACTTGTGGTTGCTGAGTGACAAGGTGTCATGGGGCCCTCTCTGCTGTGGATTTCAGAGGCACTCTTCTATTTTACAGATAAGGAAACTGAGACACAGAGACACAAAGCAATATGAGTGGCAAAGTCTCCAGGCCAGCAGGAGACCCTCCCTCCCTGCCCACAGTACCTCCCTCCCCATCCTGGGTCCTGAGTCCAGTTCTTCCCAGAGAACTGAGTTTATTTCAGTCTGTTCCTCACTGACCACAAAGACTCAGCTCTGTCCTCAGAAATATTTGGAAAGTTTTATTTAAATGTTTTGAGCTCCCTTTTAACCAGCACCAAAAAGAGAAATTTTTTTTTTTTTTTTTTGCCATTCCAAACAGGAGAGTCGCTTCAGAGAGGAACTGGCATGCATGTGGGGAGCCGGGAAGTTGTCTGCCCCGCCAGGCACGTTCATCCCAGCCCGAGCCTGGGGTTGGGGACCAGTCCCAGGAGTTGACCTCTTGGGAGCCCCAAATGGCCTTGGAATGAATGAGTGAGCAAACTCTATCCTGAGGAGAGGGAATTGGTCTCCCTGCAGCAGGGCTGGGCTTGGCGGCAGGGACATAAGCATGGTGGGGCCTGCTGGGTTCCAGGCAGGAGATGGGAGCTGATGCGTCAGATCCGGAATGTTCCATGGAGGCTCCAGCGCCTCCAGGTCTGGGGAAGTATGTTTGCTAGAAAAATAAGATGCTTTGAGAATTCTGCAGTCTGTGCTCTCTGCCTGCCCAAGAGAAACCTACCCTGTTGGCCAAAGGGGCAGTGGGGAGGGAGCAGAGGCTGGGGGTCAGGAGATGGTCTGACCCTGGTGGAGGCCTCCAGAGAGGAGTCAGGTGGGCAGCAGACTTTGGTTTCCTGGGTCCCCTTTCTGGCAGCTGTGGAGGTGGCATAGGCCTCCACCTCCCTGCCTCTTGAGGTGTGGGCTGCCAGGCAGGAGGGCAGCTCAGGGAGAGGGAGGCTGGCCATCTGTCATTGGCTGGTGTGTGCCCGGGCCTTGGGCCCTCAGAACAGGATGCTCACAGGCAGCAGGGCCAACAGAAGCAGCAGAATGCCTGGAGAGGGGCTGCCTGCCGAGTTGTCCAAGGCACAGTGGTCGCGGTTGGCACCAATACAGGCTGCATAAGCCATCACATGGGGGATGTAGTTCTGCTCGTGGACACCGTGCAGCAAGTGTGCCAGGGGGCCCTTGGCGAAGACCGCTACGTCCTCCCCGCCGTGGGTTTCATGGCGCAGGGGCACAGCTGACTGAGCCTGGTAGTTGTTGTGAGCTGTGGGCCAGAAGAAACACTTACTAAGAAGCTGCCAAGCAGGGGCCTGGTGCTATGCACTCAGCTTCTCTATTCCTTTTCTAGGTGGCCTGACTGTCCCCATTTTATAGAAGAGGAAACTGAGGCTCAGTAGGGTGATGTTATTTTGCTCCAGGGCATGGAATTCAATCCTGATTCTGTTCTTAATCAAAACCCTGCACTCACAACCCCTGAAAGAGAAGAGTAACCTCTTCTAGGCTGTTTGGGCCCCTAGTGGGACAAAGAGTTAAGCTCTCAGCTTCTAACCAAAAGGTTGGCGATTCTATTCTACCCAGAGGTTCCTCAGAAGAAAAGCCTAGTGACCTACTTCCAAAAGATCACAGCCACTGAAAACCCAATGGAGCACATTTCTACTCTGATACACACAGAACTAACTCAACGGCAGTTGGTAACTAGTAGGCTGTTTGGATTAGCAGGGAAGAGTCAGATGAAGTAGGGTTTGCCTCCTACCACAAGTTGGACCATTAGACCCCCATGTCTCTGAGCATATCAAGAACAAATGAATATTCAATAATCTGAATGGAAAAAAAACTGGGAAATTCACACATTAGAATATTATACAGCCAGCAAAAATGATAATGTAACATATCTAGTGCCTACACATGCTAGGCACTGTGCTAAGATCTTCACACCCATCTCATACTCCAGACAACCTAGGGAGGTAGAATCCTTTTACAGAGGAAACTGAAGCTGGGAAAGGTGGAAGTTATGTGCCCAAAGTCACACAGCTGCTAACTTCTAGGATGAGATTCTAATTGAGATTATTCTGATTAAAGTCCTGGATATTCTGAGACCCCTGATCTTGCCCATAAACCCTAAGTCCATCTCACTGAGGAACCTTGTCCCTCCCAGTCCTGGGTCTTGGCAGCCTCACCGTAGTCCACCATGGAGACATTCTCTCGTTCACCGCCCACCACCTTGTAGCCAGGACCATTGCCATACAGGATGGCAGTGAAGGGCTTCTTGTCTGTGTCACTCAACATGGGGGCCAGACCTGCATGGAAGGTGGTGGTAATGGGGTCATGTTGGAACATCAAGAGCCCAACTCCCAGCCCCCAACTGGGGCCCAAACCATCTCCATGAAGCCACTTTCCAAACCACTTTTACTTCTAACCAATCATCCCCAGTTCTCACTATGTCCACATCCCTCCCATCCATCCATCCATCCTCTCTTGTCTACTATCCATCTATCCATCATCTTTCCCATTCTTCTGTCCATTCTCATCCACCCATCTTCTTGTAGCCATTCACCCTCCCACTTATCCATCCACCTAATTGTCCACTCAACCCCTTCCATCCCTCATTCTGTATTCTCCCCACCCATCAGTAACTTTCTTTCCTATCCAGTTACCTCCAAGTCCCCACCACATGCCAGGCCCTTGGCTTGCTGGCTCTCCCACCCGACTCTTGCTCCCAGATGGGCAGACAGGAGACCTGCGCCCACTCCAATGGAGACCCACCTACCAAAAATGGAGTTTCCACGGGGGGTGTAGCCACCGAAGGTGAAGACGTGGGAGTGGTCAGCAGTGACCACAGTCAGTGTGTCTTCCAGAGAAGTCATGATGCCCGCCTGGCCAATGGCCTGGTCCATCTCCACTGCCTCGTGCAGGGCCTGCTTGGCTTTACCCTCATGGTGTCCATGGTCAATTCTGCCTCCTTGGGACACCAAGGCAAAGGCCTCGAGTGAGGGGGGAGGGGGATGAAGATCTGCAGCCCCACCCCCACCATTCTACTACCTGATTAACCTTTCTTTAATAGGGGAGGGCAGCCACTTTCCCCAGGCACCCACTATGTGCCAGGCACCACTTCAGGTATGTTCTCTGGTTCTTTAACCTCTACAGAGGCCCAGAGAGGGACAGCCTCTTGACCAAAGTCACACATGTGGGAAGTGCAGAGCCATGAGTTCAAAGCAGATCCACCCAACAGAAAACTGTGTGCTCCTCCTACCACCCCATTCTGCTCTCTGCCCTGTTTCTTCAGCTGCTTGAAGGAGTTGCTGAAGATAGCCTGTCTGTGTACCTACTATGTGCCAGGCACACCAGACTGATGTCTCATCTCCCTTACAACAATCCTAGGCAGAGATGGATACCGTCAGCCCCATCGACAGATGAAACAACTGAGGCTTCGAATGGGGAAGTCATGACCAAGGTGGAATTTGTTGGGGTTTGAATTTAGATGTGACTCACTCGAAAATTCCTGTTTTTCTGTCTCTACCATGAGTACATCCCCTCTAAGAACCAGAGCTCCTAGAATAAAGCATAGGACCTGCTTATGTCTAAAGGGTGGTGGAAACCCTAGGTGTCTGGGCAGTGCCCGTGGCAGGCTTCCATAGGCCTGTTGAAGCCTGAATCCTCCCGCCTCCCCCAGATGAGAGTAGGACACCTGGTTATATGCTTTCCTAGTGGCAAAGTGCTATGTGACCTTAGGGGGGCGCCTCCCCCTCTCTATGAGGCTGCCTGGGTGGACACTTCCAGCTCTGAGGGTCATGGAGCCTGGGCGCCTGGCCACCCTCTCTTCCCGCCAGCCTGGGCCTCAACCACTTTGGTCTGGCAGACTGGCAGGGTGGGTCCTCCCTTTGTTGTGGCTCTGGGAGCAGCTGGCCTGGCAGGCCCAGCCCTGGCCCTGCTCACAAAGACAGTTGCTCCCAGGGGAGCTCATGCTCACCACTACTGGTTCCTGGCATCAGAGCCCTATTCAGGGCTAAGATGAGACTGCCATGTTTCAGTGGGAACCCTGGGGTCTGGCAAGAAAGCAACTAAGCCAGGCTGGCGGCCACCAGCCTTTGGAGGGCAGAGGGACCTGTTAATGTGTGTGTGTGTGTGGTAAGAGATTGTAAGTGCAAGCATGTCTGCACGTGTGTGACTGTGCATGTGCGTGTGTGTGTGTGTGTACATGTGGATCCCAGCAAGGTAAAATCAGGAACCAGGGAGGACAATGGCTGTTAGAACTTTGAAAGATTCTGGAATCTTTCTCACTTCCTCACATTTCCTATTGTTCTTAACTTAGCTATTATAATGATATTAATGGAAACACTGAGGTTTCATTCTCTGCTGGGCCCTGTTCCAAGTACTTTATGTCTCTGGATGCAATGGAGGCTCATAAGCCCTCTGTGAGAGGGGAACTGTTTTTATCTGCATTTTACAGAAATGTTCAGGTAAAGGTTATGTGGCCAGTGGGTGGCAGCACTAGGAGGAGAGCCCAAGTCTGACTCTGGTCGGAGACAGTGCTGCGGAGCCCTGTGGACACTGGACTCAGCATCCAGCACTGGAAAGCCAAGGGCCTGAGGGCTGGATCCCCTCCACAGCCAGGCTTGAGGGGAGGGTGGGGGAATCCAAAAGGAAGAAACATGCATCCTTTCTCAGGAAGCCTTTCTAACCTGGGAAGACTGGCATGACATCTTCATGACCAGAGGAGGAGATCTCTTTGAGCTGGGGAGCTAATACCCCGAGGAATCCACAATCTACACTTCATTTCCTCCAAAAGGAATGTTCTCCCTTGCCCCATCTCAGGACGGTTCTCTTGGAGAGCTGGACGCCTCATCCCCTGGCCCAGGGCCATGTACCAGAGCTCCCTTCTCAGCAGCCACAGCTCCAGGGCAGCATCCCTGCCTCCAGGCCCAGGGCCCCTACCTTCCACAAGCAAGAAGAAGCCTTTGGGATTCTTCTTCAGGATCTTGATGGCCACTTCCACCATCTCGGAGAGTGATGGGTCAGTTACGTTGTCCCTGTTCAGCTCGTACTGCATGTCCCCTGGCTCGAAGAGACCTGAGGAAGACACAGGGGGCCCTGGATGGTGGGAGTCCATGACTCTGCTATGATGACCCTCAAGGTAGCTAAGGTGTCTCAGGGAACACATACTCCCCATACCTAACCCAGGGGTAGCATGTGATGAGGGGAAGGGAGCTTATCTGGTGGCCCTCACGGACCCAGAATTGTAACAGGTGCTTTGGAAATGCTACCTCCTTTAATCTTCCCAACCCCTGCCTGTGGGAGTGCACCATGTCCATTTTGCAGAGGAGGAGAGTGAGGCTCAGAGGGTGTTCAGTAACTTGCTATTTCAGCTGGGATTCAAATCCATTATCCTCCTCTCAGCCAGAAAGCTGGAGGTTCAAACCCACCAGCCACTTCTTGGAAGGAAGGTTGGGCAATCTACTTCTGTAGTGATAGTGCCTCAGAAACCCAAGGAGGGGTCACTATGAGTTGGGTCAGACTTCATGGCACATAACAACAACAACAACAACAACCTCCCAGCCTGTGGGGCCAGAATAGGTTGCTGTGGTCCTAAGGCAGAGGACTGCATCATGGACTCAATGGGCCGCTTGTGTGTATGTGTGTGTGTGTTTACATGTCGAGTTTTAAGGGCACAGTGGCCCAGGGAGTGAACCAGCAGAGGGCTTGGGGTTGCTATCCCTTCTGCTCACTAAGCTGGTTTTCTCATGTGTATATTGAAGAGAGTGATCCATTCCTTGGAGTCCACATGTGGGGACTGTCTGTTGTGTACCATGTTGGTGTTGCTGTCCTTCTGTGAATGTGTGCACAGCCAAACAATAGTTCCAATTAAGAGAGTGCTCACTCTGTGCTCTTCAGAAGCATGCAAGTGCCAGCCTCCAAGATGGTGCCGAATGATCCTTGTCTCCTGGAATTCAGGCCTTAGTGTGGTTCCCTCCCACACTGAGTAGGGCTAACCTGTGTGTTATGAATTGAACTGTGTGCCCCCAAAATATGTGGTGGAATCCTAACCCCTATACTTTTTGATGTAATCTCATTTGGGAATAGTTTTTCTTTGTTACATTCATGAGCCCATATCAGCGCAGGATGTGTCTTAAACCTACTGTCTTTCGAAATATAAAAAGAGCAGATTAGACACAGAGACAAGTAAGTGCAAACAGAGGGGACGATACCTGCCACATGGAGATTGCCAAGGAATCAAAGAATGCTGGGGCTACAGAAACTGAAAGAAATCTTCCCCCAGAGACAATAGAAACAGAGCATTCCCCCGGAGCTGATGACTTGAAGTAAGACTCGTAGCCTACTCAACTGTGAGGAGAATACATTTCGGTTCTTCAAAGCCATCCACTTGTAGTATTTCTGTTACGGCAGTTCTAAAAAACTAAGACACAGTGTATATTCCATCTGGCAAAATCCAGAATATATGGCAATGACAGTGTGTGACTTCCAAGGCCAAGACATAAGACATTACAGCTTCCACCTTGGATCTCTAGAAGAAGCTAGCCACCATGTTGTAAGGACTCTTAAGCAGCTCTGTGGTGAGATCCAAATGGTGAAGAACTGAGACCCTCTGCCAAAAGCTAAGACCAACTTTCCAGCTGTGAGAGCCAGCCATCTTCAAAGGGATCTTCCAGCCCCAGTCAAGCCTTCAGATGACTCAACCTCAAGAAAGACCCTGAGGCAAAACCACCCAACCAAGATGCTCCCCAAATCCTGACCCAAAGAAACTATGTGAGTTAATAAATGTTTCCTCGTGTTACTACCACTCGTCTGTCGATTTGTAGTATCATGGTGGCTTGCATGCTGCTTGCATGCTGGAAGATATGCCATCCATGCTTCGAATACCAGCAGGGCCACCCTTGGACAGATTACAGTGGAGCTTCCAGACTAAGACAGACTGGGAAGGAGGGCCTAGTGGTCTACTTCTAAAAAATACTGGCCAGTGAAAACATTATGAATCACAATAGAACACTGTCTGGTATGGTATGGTGCCAAGAGAGGGACCCTCCCATTGAAAGATGCTCCAAGTACGACTGGGGAAGAGCTGCTTCCTCAAAGTAGAGTTGGTCTTAAAGACGTGGATGGAGTAAAGCTTTTGAGACCTTCATTTGCTGATGTGGCATGACTCAAAATAAGACAAAACAGCTGCAAACATCTATTAATAATTGGAAAATTGGAAGTCATTAAAAGTGAAATGGAACACATAAAGATTGATATCCTAGGCATTAGTGAGCTGAAATGGACTGGTATTGGCCATTCTGAATCAGACTATAATATATTCTACTATGCTGGGAATGACAAACTGAAGAAGAATGGCATCACATTCATTGTTAAAAAGAACATTTCAAGGATCTATCCTGAAGCACAACACTGTCAGTGATAGGATAATATCCATACACCTACAAGGAAGACCAGTTAATACAACTATTATTCAAATTTACACATCAATCACTAATGCCAAAGGTAAAGAAATTAAAGACTTTTGACCAACTTCTGCCATCTGAAAATGATCAAACATGTAATGAAGAAGCATTGAAAATCACTGGTGATTGGAATGAGCAAGTTGGAAACAAAGAAGGATCAGTAGTTGGAAAATAAGGCCTTGGTGATAGCAATGATGCCAGAGATTGCATGATAGAATTTTGCAAGACCAATAACTTATTAACTGGAAACACCCTTTTTTTCAACAACACAAACAGTGACATCTGGATTTTGCCAGATGAAATATACAGAAATCAGATCAACTCCATCTGTGGAAAGAGAGGATGGAGAAGCTTAACATCATTAGTCAGAATAAGGCCAGGGGTCAACTGTGGAAGAGACTATCTATTACCCATATGCAAGTTCAAGTTGAAGATGAAGAAAAGTAAAACAAGTCCTTGAGAGCCAAAGCAACCTTTGAATATATCTCACCTGAATTTAGAGACTACCTCAAGAATAGATTTGACACATTGAACACTAATGACCGAAGACCAGAAGAGTTGTGAGATGACACTAAAGAGACAGGGAAGAAAGAAAAGACCAAAATGGATGTCATAAGAAACTCTGAAACTTGCTCTTGAATGTAGAGTAGCTAAAGAAAAAAGAAAAAATGATGAAGTAAAAGAGCTGAATAGAAGATTGCAAAGGGTGACTTGAGAAGACAAAGTAAAGCATTATAATGAAATGTGCAAAGACCTGGAGTTAGAAAACCAAAAGGAAAGAACACTCTTGGCATTTCTCAAGCTGAAAAAACTGAAGAAAAAAAATTCAAGCCTCAGGTTGCAATATTGAAAGTGTTCTGTGTGCAAAATATCAAACAGAGGAAGAAGCTTGAAAAGAAGGTGGGAAGAATACATAGTTACTGTACCAAAAAGAATTGGTCAGTGTTCAACCATTCCATGAGATAGCATATGATTAAGAACCGATGCTACTGAAGGAGGAAGTCCAAGCTACACTGAAGGCATTGGTGAAAAACAAGACTCCAGGAATTGATGGAATATCAATTATGATGTTTCAACTAACAGATGCATAGCATTGACATTGTCTATGGTTAGAAATCTGGAAGGCAGCCATCAGGCCAACTGACGGAAGAGATCTACATCTGTGCCCATTCTAAAGAAAGGCGATCCCACAGAATGCAGAAATTATTAAACAGTATCAGGCCGCAGAAGAATTGATGCATTTGAGTTATAGTGCTGGGAAAGAATATTGAATGTACCATAGACTACTAAAAAAATGAACAATTTGTCTTGGAGGAAGTACAGCTGGAATGATCTTTACAAGGGAGAATGGCCACACTTGGTCTCTTGTACTTTGGTCGTGTTGTCAGAAGGGACAAATTCCTGGAGAAGGATATCATGCTTGATAAAGTAGAGGGTCAGTGAAAAAGGGGAAGACCCTCCATGAGATGGATTGACACAGTGGTTGCAATGATGGGCTCAAGCAATGTGACAATTGTGAGGCTGGTGCAGTACCAGGCAGTGTTTTGTTCTGTTATACACAGGATCGCTAGGAGTGGACGTGACTCAACAGCATCTAATAACAACAACAATCGTTAATATAATATGCAAGTAAGATCTAGCTGAACATCATTTAAAAACAGTTGCAGCAGCATTTTGACAGAGAAATTCCAGAAATGCAAGCTGGATTCAGAAGAGGACATGGAACAAGGGATATCATTGCCAATATCAGATAGATTTGGCTGAAACAGAGAATACCAGAAAGATGTTTATCTGTGTTTTATTGACTACACAAAGACATGTGATTGTGTGGATCATAACAAATTAGGAATAACATTGTGAAGAATGGGAATTCCAGAACACTTAATTGTGTTAATGTGGAACCTCTATATAGACCAAGAGGCAGTTGTTTGAACAGAACAAGGGGATACTATGTGATTTAAATTCAGGATAGGTGTGCATCAGGGTTGTATTCTTTTACCATACTTATTCAATCTGTATGCTGAGCAAATAATCTGAGAAGCTGGACTATATGAAGAATGTGACATCAGGCTTGGACAAAAACTCATTAACAATGTATGATATGCAGATGATATAATCTTGCTTGCTGAAAGTGAAGAGGACTTGAAGTACTTACTGATGAAGATCAAAGACTAACAGCCTTCAGTATGGATTACACCTCAACATAAAGAAAACAAAACTCCTCATAACTGGACCAATAAGCAACATAATAAACAGAGAAGAGATTGAAGTTGTCAAGGATTTAATTTTATTTGGATCCACAAGCAATGCCCATGGAAGCAGGAGTCAAGAAATCAAACAATGTATTGCATTGCGTAAGTCTGCTGCAAATGACTTCTTTAAAGTGTTAAAGAGCAAAGATGTCACTTTGAAGACTAAGGTATGCCTGACCCAAGCCATGGTATTTTCAATCACTTCATATGCATGTGAAAGCTGAATAATGACTAAGGAAGACTGAAGAAGAATTAATGCATTTAAAGTATGCTATTGATAAAGAACGTTGAATATACTGTGGTCTCCAAAAGAATGAACCAATGTGTCTTGGAAGAAGTAAAGCCAGAATGCTCCTTAGAAGCGAGGATGCCAAGAGTTCGTCTCATATACTTTGGACATGTTCTCAGGAGGAACTTTCTTCCCTGGAGAAGGATATCATACTTGGTAAAGCAGAGGGTCAGTGAAAAGGAGGAAAACCCTCAACGGGATGGGTCGACACAGTGCAATAATGGGCTCAGACAGCAACGATTTTAAGGATGGGGCAGGACTAGGCGGTGTTTTGTTGTTTTGTACATGGGGTCGCTATGAGTCAGAACCGACTTAATAACTCATGGCGCCTAACAACAACTGCTAAATTTGGGGGTAATTTGTTACACAGGAATAGATCACTTATACAATGTATTAGCTCATTTAATCCTCATACAATCCTGAGGTAGGTCCTATCTTTACCCACATTTTGTAGATAAATCATTATCCCTACTTTATAGAAAAGGAAACTGAGGCACAGAGAGGAAAAATCGCTTGACCATGGTTACACACTCATAAGTGTAGAGTTGACTTTGACCTAGATGCTCTGTCTCTAAGCTCTGTGAGCAAGACTGTATATACTACATGAGCCTGGCCAGGCTCTCCCCATTCTGTGTATGATATGCGGTGTGAGCTTGGGACCCAAGCAAACAGAGGGCTGTGTGTATGTGTCTGGAGGATCCTCATATGCCCAGCTTTGAGCCCATAATCTCTGATGGCACACCCAGGACCAGTGAGCTGTGCTCCTTGGAAAATGTTGGCTGGAGATTTTGTTGCCACCTGTCAGCACAATAGCCGGTGGAAAGAAGCTCCAGATGTCTGTGTGGTGGTCCCAAGATCCAGCCTGAATGTCCCCCCGCCCCCAGGGCCTCGTTCCTCCAAGTCTGGCATTGCCCTTGGGCCCTCACTTGCTCCCCACACTCTGGGGAGGGACAGCAGTCCCCAGGTAGCACCAGCAGAGACAACATGGCTGTCTTCTCCCCTTGGTTACTATGGTAGTTAAGTTTGTGTGTCAGCTTGGCTGGACCTGGTTGAGTGGCTGGGCAGCTGGATGTAGTATTCCCCATGATGAGACTGGTAATCAACTCCATGGTAGAATCTACTGTGAGCAGCTGAGTAGCTGCCTTAGGGATGTGGTCTGCTTCCTGTATATAAGGAGAAGCCTTGGGGAACAGTCTCTAGCTTATGGCACACTTGAACCCTGCATGTAACTGTGTCATTGTTCAGCAGCCTGCCATGCTCTGCCGACCTTGGGACTTTCAACGGACTTGAATTAATGGCCTGCCGTGTGGTTTGGTAACATCAGAATTGTGCCTTTTACTTGTCAGCCTTGGGCTTGTCAGTCTCAGCAGCCAGCAGCTATCTGAATGAAGAAAAGCCTCTAGCTTCAGTGGGCTGGGAGCAGGAGGCAGAGCTGCAACCCAAGGTTGAGGGGCTTTCACCCACCCTCTAAGAGCCTGGCATTTTGAACTTGGACTTAAAGCCTCTAATTGTTAGAGAATGAACTCCTCTTTGTTCAAGACATTTCATTTGTGGTATTTTCTATTAGAGCAGCACAGAGGTAACCAAAACAGTTACAGAGAACTGACTCCAGGGCTCTTCTCCACAGCCCAGGAGAAGTTAAAATCCCAGCTTCTAACCAGGGTTTGGACTCATCTGGGTCCTCACTCTAAATCAGTTGTGTGACATGTCACAACTCCCTCTCCCTCTCTGTGCTTCCTGCACAGGCATTAGATTTCAGGCCTAATTTCATAAAGCAGAACCTCCTTCTTGCCCCATGTGGGTTCTGGAGCCTGAGGGCAAAAGCCCCTAAGTGGTGTGGGGGGCACTCTGGGGCCTTACTCCAGGTATCAGACTCCTCCAGCCCCGGCTAGGAGAACTTAGTTGTGTGTCCCCCACTCGACGCACTCCACTTACTTACCCAAGAGGTAGTCCACGGCGTGAAGGTCGAGGGCTAGGAGTTCAGTGCGGTTCCAGACGTAGTGGGAGTGCTAGAAGGAAGGGCTTGTGTCAGTACCCACCAGGGGCAAGGGGAGCTGGGTGGAAGACGTTGATTTGTTCCTTCCATCAGTTAACAAGCCCTCCCTGAAGACCTACTAGTGCTGACCTCAAGAGATCACAAATAAACAGTTAATTATAATGCAAGAGAGAAGAATTTGGGTGGTGTGGGGGAAGCAGGAGAGCCCAGATGCAGGGATCAGGGAGGGCTTCTTGGTGGAGGTGATGTTCTATCAGGGACTGGAGGATAAGTAGGAGCTGATGAGCCTGGGGGTCAGGAAGGAGACCTGAGGAGGATCATGAGGCAAAAGGGAAGAGCAGGTACAGGTCACAAGGGGCCTGGAGTACCTGTTGCGGGGTGTGGGCTGTGTGTGTTCTGGGGGCCATGGAGAGCCAAGGAGGAAGCAAAGCTTCAGGTCTACCCTGGAGACCCTGTCTGGTGTGGGAAGGGGTATGTTTCGGGGGAGGAAGTGTGCTTCCCTAGGGCATAGAAACCATAGGAAGTAGCTGGCCCAGCTGAGTCTAGTGATGGCATCATTCAAGGCCTAGAATGGGGTCCAACACTGCTGTGTGTCCTTTGGAAAGTCCCTTGCCTTCTCAGGACCGTGGCATTGGCATTAGTGGTTTTCAGACCTTTTCCTTAGAACAGCCTCAGGGGCTATTGCACGGAGGGTGGAAGATTGAGGAAGTGAGGTTTTGGAAGTGATACCTGCTTCACCAGGGAGGCTCTCCTGGGTTATCTCATTTAATCCTCATATCAGCCTACAAGTTAGGTACAGTTATTCCCATTTTACAGATGAAGACACTGAGGCACACAGATGCTGGAGTGACTAAGGAGTTAAAGTTAAAACCTCTCCCAAGAATTTTCTTCTAGGAATGTATGGCCTATGTGGGGACTTGACAGCCTGTCATGTTCCAGCCCTTGGGTGGGGTGTGGGACCTTCTCTCTTTCATGGACATCTAGACTGAGCTCCAGGGTAAGCACCCTGAGTGGGCAGGAAGGCTTAAGGTCTGGTCCCATTTTTCATGGGAGAAACTGAGGCTGGAAGGGAAAGTGTCTCCTGGGCCAGGGCCAGGGCGGGGCTGTGGCCCAGCCTGTGCTGACTCAGAAGGCTTGGAAAGGGTTTAAAGCCACTCAGTCACCCCCACCCCACTCTGTGGGGGCCATTCCCAGGGCCCTGCCCCCACTGTGCGCTTGGCCCAGCCCCATTCCACAAGGCCTCCCTGAGGGCCAGTAATGGAACCCTCAGAAACCCAACCCCAAAGTGACATCAAAGTGGCTGCCAGATTGGTCCCCACTGTCTTCAGCTCTGACCACAGTCATTTCCAGACCCCAGCTGCCCCGTGCCTGGCAGGCCGCCGCAGATTTAAAGGGCCATTCTGCTGCTCCAGAGCCCCTGTCCCCCTTCCTTGCTCTGGTCAAAGTAAGCTCACTGCTCAGGGCTTCCCCGCTTGCTGCATACCTTCCCCAGCCAAACGGCTGTCCTGCCTACTACTGCTGTCCCCTCTCTGCCCCGGCTCTAGTCCTCCACTCAACTGCCTCATCCAGCAGGTGCTTCTCCATCCCCTCCTTGGCACCACCATCGCACTTGCTCAGGGCTGTCAGTCTCTCCCTTGTGATTTGTCCCTCTGTGATCCCATAGGCCCCTGGGCCTCCTATCATACCAGCACACTCTGAGTTTGTTTCTTTCCTTGACCATCGGATTTATCCTGTGTACTTTATGCCCAGCTAAGGGCCCCACATACAGTAGGCGCTGATCATCCTTTCAGGTTGCTCCCTGCCCACCCTCCTGAGTGTCATCTAGCCTCCTCCAGTACCCTCCCCTGAAGCAAGGAGCTGCTGCTTGGTTACCCACGAAGTGCCATTAGCATATTTGTCAGCTCAGTTGAGAGCCTCAGAAAAACCCACTGAAGTAAGAATTATAACTCCCATTTTACAGACGAGGAAACAGATTCAGAGAGGGGCCACCCAGCCTGTCCCACGGCAGGCTGCCTCTGCAGCCATCTGGTCCCTGGATGTGCTACCTTGTGTCTCGGTTTGAAGCTCTTCCAGATGTCGATGAGGTTCAGACCATCTAGCCTCGTGCCCCTGGCCTTGTCATCCATCTCATACTCTATATCAGTTCTATTCTTGGGGAACATATACTTCCGGCCACCTCCCATGATCACCTGAAGGAGACAAGAGCCATCAGTAACCTGGATCCCAAGATATCTGGAAGTCTCAGTGGCCCCAGCCTGAACAGCTGGACCCTGGGGGATGGTGTGGACACTCTTGTAGCATGGTGATTAAGTCTACCTGCCCTCTCTGAGCTTCCACCTTTCCAGTCCGGGGAGAAAAATCAACTTCCTTCTGACCCAAAAGATGGAATCATGAGTCTACTGGGGCCACAGTTGGGGCTTTGGGGTGAATTATTGGGGCTACCAATAACTGAGAACCAGTTGCTGTCAAGGCAGTTCCAGCTCACAGAGTCCTTGTGTGTGAAGGAGTACAAATGTACTCCATAATTTCCAATGGCTGATTTTTTGGAAACAGATCACCAGGCCTTTCTTCTGAGGCACTTCTGGCCTCAGGTAACAGCCCAGCATGTTAGTAATTCCACCACCCAGGGACACTCACCAATACCTACTTAACTGGCTTTCCAGAAGCCTGACACACGCTCTCACTTTTTAAAAATAATACCATGTACTGAGGGCTCACCACATGGTGATAAGATACATCATCTTGGTCAACTTCATAGCAAAGCTGCAAGGGGACTGGTGTCATCTCATCTTCCAAGTAAAGAAACAGATGCAGAAAGGTGATTTCTGTCCCCCAGGGTCACACAGCTACTAAGTGGCAGGGTCAGGTTTGGAACCCAAGACTTCTCTGACTCTGGCACCAGGGCTGTGCTGTGTCCATGGAGCCAAGGATAGGGCCTCCAAGAGCCTCCTGTCCCCACAGTGAGGCAGACACTGGCAGATGAGCGGCCCGAGCCAGGGAGGTCTTTGGGGCAGCCCAGCTGGGAGCGGGCCCACCGCAGCCTGGGCAAACAGTGGGGCTGGGACTCACTGTCTGTGTAATCACTGCAGGCTAATTTTACCCACCCAGGCTGGTGTGCGTGGGCGGATGGACGGGGGCTGTTTGTTTTCCTTGGGAGTTCATGTTTGAAGTCCTGACTATTTTTGAAATGGGGGCCAAGAGGAAAACAGCCGCCGCCTGCGGTGACCACCACACCGGTGTCCTCCTGTCACCATGGGCTCCGGCCCAAGCTGCTGCCCCTGGCTGACACCTTGGGAGAACAGAGGCCAGCTAGGGCTGGCCCCAGCACCACTCGCTTCAGGCCTGGCATTCACATCTTCTTCTCGACCTTGCACCCCATTTCCTTCCTCAGAGCCCAGGGTTTGCAGGGTCGTGAGGAAACCAGGAGCCCAGGTAAGGGGTGGAGGTGAGGCTGGTGCCCCAGGAGTACCCTGGACCACAGGGTACTGGAAAGCACAGGGCCTTTGGTGTCAGACTTGGGTTTGGATCTTGGCTCCGTCATTTATTGATGCAGAGCTTGTTGCTTAACCTGAGTCTCACTTTCCTTATTGTAAAATGGGCACAGCACCTGCCCACAGGAGTGTCGTGGGGGAACTAGAGCATCTCGGCATCATCTGCAGCACCTGCGGGGACCCGGGGAGCTATTCTCCTTGCCAGGAATAGTAGAGATTAAAGTCTTTCCAGAGGAGTGAGAGCTCTGGGGGTAGGGAGGCTGTGAGGGGAAGAAGGGGACCCCAGGTCACTGCCCCCTCCTGCCCACCACCAGTGTTCCCACAGAACCTGACCCCTTGGCATTTCCAGGGTGGAAACTGAAGCCCCCAATCTTCTTGCTGGTGCCTCATCATTTCCAGCCCAGCGGGGACTTCACACGGACTCATTAAACTCCCAAATAACAGACTTGCTGTTTGGCTTTGGCTTTGGCTTTGTGTCTTTCTTTCTTCTTCTTATGCTTTTTTTTTTAGCAGAAGATATTTATTTTCAGGGCGGACACCAGGATTCGTGTTTCATGGACAGCCTGGGGACTGAGGGGCTTCGGGGCAGTGGTGATACAGGGGAGGTGGGGCAGAAAGTAGGGGAGAAGAGAGAGGAAGGGACGGGAGGAAAGTCCTCACACTTACCCTACCTCTTTCCCTCACTCTCTGAGTATCCCAGAAGCTCTCCACATGCCCCCAGATGAAAAGCCTCCCCCTCAAGCTCCTGTCCCCCGTCTCAGGGGATTTGACAAGATTTGTGCCTGCCAATTCTCTAAAGAACAGCCCCATAATTACACCCTGTGCTTGTCCAACAAATGTTCTCACATTCATGACTTCATCTTGGCCTCCAACAGCCCCAGGAGGAGGCAGGTGGGGTTCTCTGTTCTTGCCACACAGGTGGGGAAACTGAGGCTCTAGGAGGGGAAGGGACTTGCTCTAGGATGGAGTGGCTTTGCCTCAAATGTCCGCTCACCAGGCAGAGTCAACAGGATTCTTTGTTCTGAAAGAGGGTGCTTAATCCATGACTTGGAAGGGGGAAGATATGGGTTGGTGGGGGGACCAGGTGGCACCAGGTAGCACTTAGAAATCAGGGGGAAAGGTCAAGGGGGAAGGGAAAAGGTAGGTTTGGCAGGTCTGGGAGTGCGGCAAAAAAGAAGAGTGGGGCCTGAGGGCTTTCTCTGAGCCTCGCTGAGCTCCCTTTTTGGGCTCAGGAGCCAACATCTCCCTCCCTCTGCCGCATTGCTTCACGCAACCCTTCAGTAGGTAACACGAGCCTGCAAAAGGAATAAGCCAGAAGTTTCCGGCTCAGAACAGCACATCAGGTAGGCGAGATCTGGGAGCACGTGTTATGCTTGCATGCGTGGGCCTGCTCAGTATGTTGATATGTGTGTTTTGGAGTTGGGACATGTGGCTCACACATAAACACTACCATTTTCTGGGCACTAAGTTGCAGGCCCTGTGCTGAACCCTCTAGAGATTACCTTATTTAGTTCTTGCAATGGTCTTATGGTAGTAAGTACATTTCACAAAGGAGCAAACAGAGGCTTAAAGAGGTCAAGTAACTGACCTGGGGTCACACAGCTAGCAAATGACAGGTCTAGGATGCAAAGCCAGGAATAAGAGCATGCACTAACCATTGTTAACACTGCCTGTTTTCCAAGTGCATGCTTGTGTGCTGGATGAGTGCGTGGGACACCTACTGTCTGTGCAGGTGTGAACGCGCAGGGCAGGTACTCCCCTCGGACGGCCACTGTGCCACCCTACCTCCCACGTTGAGGGGAGGTTGCCGCACCAGGTTCCAAATTTTGGAATAATCCCTGGGCAACTGGTTCTTGGGATGTGGCGATGGCCACATGAGAGTTTACCCCCAGCCCCACCACAGAGAAATCCCCCAGTGCCTCCCTGCCCTGACCACAAATCCCCTAATGGGCTGGGAGCCCTCCCAGGAGTGTAGGCAGTCAGGCCAAGCAGCTTTTTCTGGACCAGCCCAGGCCCGAGGCCTCCCACCCACCCACGGCCCCACTTCACCAGCCCCGTCCCTGCACCGGTTCCAGCCCGCCCTCACCTCAATGTCCTTGATGTTGTGCATGAGCTGGTAGGCAATATCCTTGCAGCCCTGGCTCAGGGCCTCTGGGGGCATCTCATTGTCCGAGTACCAGTCCCGGTCAGCAGAGTGGGCATAGGCAGCACTGGGAGTGGCATGGTTCACTCGGGTGGTGGTCACAATGCCCACAGACTTGCCTGGGGTGCAGGAGAAGGGGGTTTGGCATCAGCTGGAGATGGGGTTGTCTAAGCTGCCTCCCTCTCCCAGCCAAAGACTGGTCTCTCAACAGCTCCAATGACTGCCTGGACCTCAGTCTCCCCCTGGGCAGAGGGTGCGGAGTGGCTTTCTAATACTCTAGCAGCTCTGGCACACTGTCTCAGGGAACTTCCATTCTCTCGAAGGCCCTTGAGCTGCAAGTGCCTGGGCTGGACCCTCCTCTCCTGATAGGACCCAGCAGAACTCAACTCCTCCGGGAACCCCCCACCAATAGGGGCCCCTCCCAAGGGATCCCAAGTAGGGTACAGCTCTGTCACCTGTGTCAGTCTGCCCTATTCCCTGAATCACAGATCCTGAAGGTACAGGCCAGGTCACCCCAATTGCAGGTCTCCCTTCTTCCAAGGGAGAAGGAGGAACATGAATGGGGCCAGGTCCTTTATATGCATCATCTTATTCCCTACTCACACCCCACCTATGAGGGGGCTATGTTTTCATGCCCAGTCAAATGCACAACCATTTAACCAGGTGCCATCAAGCCAATTTCAATTCATGGTGACCCTCTGTATTTCAGAGTAGAGTTCTGTTTTTTTTTTTTGTTGTTGTTGTTGTTTTTAATGTGATTTGGATGAAAGTTTATAGAGCAAACTCATTTTCCATATAGCAGTTCATACACATTTTGTTTCATGACATTGACTGCAATTTCCCACAGTGTAACAGCTCTCTTCCCACTTCCTCCCTGTGGTTATCTCGTCCCTGTGTCCTTCCCTCCCATGCACTCCCACCCCCAAAGCTATCTCCCTGTGCAAATACTGTTCTTCTGTTATTCCATGATTGATTGATCACTCCAAGGAATGTATCTACCTGATGTAAATGTTCCCCCCATACACCTGTCTATAGTTTGCCTGAAAGTCACAGGAGTGAGTTCCATTCCAGACCTGCAAGGTAACCAGGGGCCATAGTCTCAGGGGTCTCACCAGGCTCTATCAGATCAGCAAACTGGTCTTTTTTTTTTTTTTTTTAATGATTTTTGAGTTTTGTTCCACATTGTTCTCCCACTTTATCCTGGATCTCCTGCACCAATCCTCCTCCAAGTGATTGACAGTGGCACCATCTAGTTCTTCTGGTCTCAGGATCACATAGGCTGAGGATCACATGGCCTACTAGTCCCTTGGATTAATTGTTTCGATACATTTTTGGTTTATTTCATTCTTCTTTGCTCTGGATGAGAAGAGACCCATCTTTGCATCTAGATGGCCACTTACAAGCTTTTAAGACCCCAGTCACTCAGAGGAGGGTTTTTTTAATGGCTGATTATTTGGAAGTAGATTGCTAGGCCTTTCTTCCAAGGCATCTCTGGGTGGACTTGAACCTCTAACCTTTCAATTAGCAGCAGAATGCCTTAACCATTTGCACCACCCAGAGACTCAGGGAAATGAGGTTGTTTGTTTGGGGTCTCGGTTATCAGTGGCAGAGCTGAGACCAGAACCCACCCCTAAGCCACTAGCTTGCCGTATCGTGGGAGGGAGTCTATGGATATTTCATAGACTTCAGAACATTGGAGCTGGGAAAGCATCTTTTTCAACCATATCCCTATTGGACAGTTGGGATGACCAAGGCCCAGGCGGTTCACAGAGCCGGACCCCATCCTCTGATGCTTCCCCCCACTCACCAGCATCCTTGGCCCAGTGCAAGATGGAGGTAACCTCGTTTCCCTGAGTTGTGTTGCACTGGGAGCGCTCGGTTGCAGCACTCACCCCCACGGTGCCCTCATTGGCCTTCACCCCACACAAATAGGCTGTGGCAGTGCCCGCGCTGTCAGGAACCTGAGCGTTGGTGTTGTAGGTCTGCAGGTGGTAAGGAAGGTCAGGAGATGGCCAGGTGTTGGCCCACAATGTTGCCTACCCCGCCCCCCAACACCCATGGAGACTGGGCGTGATCTACCAAAGTCCCACTAGGAGCCACCTTGTTGTCTGCTTCCTGCCCCATTCCCTGTGCCCAGGCAGCCATGGTACAGCAGGAAGAGACTGGAACCCAGGTCTCTAACATACAGAGAAAAGACGGTTTGGCAGAGGGTTGGGTGGGTGGGGATCAGGCTGGGCCAACTGAGGTCTCTCTCAGGGTGGGGGCTGCAGGAGGCCTCGAGTGAGGAGGGGGCAGGTGAGTCCTAAAGGAAGAGGGGTTTCTTGAAGGAGTGGGGGGGCCTAGGAGAAGGGGAAGTAGTGAAGGGGAGATAGGATCTAAAAGAAGGAGATGGGGAGAGTAGAAATGAGAGTCCAGTGCTCTCTGACATCCCCCTATCCCCATTCAAACCTCTAGTATAGACCCTGAAACTATTTGTCTCCTTTCTCCACCAACTAAAGTTTAGTTTAGCAACTAAACTTGTTGCTATTGAGTTAATTCTGACTCATAGCAAACCTATAGGACAGAGTAGAACTTCCCCACAGGACTTCCAAGACTGTAATCTTTAAGGAAGTAGACGGCCACATCTTTCTCCAGAGCAGCTGGTGGATTCAAACGGCCAACTTCTTGGTTAGAAGCTGAATACTTAACCACTGGCTCCTTTGTAAGCAAGTAAAAGGCACAAAAAAACATTACAATCTCTGTTTGTCCCCAAGAATGGAGCCTAGAGCCTGACCTAGAGTGTCTAGAGGATGTTGACTGCACAACACTGTCACCAATGGCAGTAGCTACCATTGAGTGTGTATTGCCTCTAATACTTTACATCAGTTATCAGATTAATTTTCCAAATCACCTTGGGAGAGAATGCATGAAATAGAGTCACATGTCACAATATGGATGAATCTCAAATAATCCTGAGTATAAGTGCCAGACATAAGGGTATATGTGAGATATTTCCATTTATATAACTTTCAAAGGCAGGCACAGTTAATCTAAGCTGTTAGAAGTCAACGTGGTGGCCACTGTTGGTGGGGAGGGGTCTGGTGACTAGAGGAGGGCGGAGAGGCCTCTGGCTGCTGTCATGTTTAGTTTCTTGCTCTGGATGCTAGTTAGACAGGTATGTTCAGTTTGTGAAATTTCAAGCTGGGTAGTTGTGCACTTTTTTAAAGGTAATGTTGTTGTTGTTGTT